GATATTTTACGCAGTTGGCTGGGGATATCATGTTTTTGTTCCTATCTTGGCTTTTTACAAATATTGTGTCATTGTAACAAATATTTTCTATTTTGAACTTAAAAGGAATTAATTCGTTGCCACAAACTCTGGTTTTATAATCTCTATATATTTGCATCCCAATGTCGTGGTTTTATAATCTCTATATATTTGCATCCCAATGTCGTGGTTTTATAATCTATATATTTGCATCCCAATGTCGTGGACCATAGATATTTCAAACTATGAATTCTGTAAGATTTGATAATCTAAGTTTGAAATATCCAAATATTTACACATTCAGGTTGCAAAAATGTAGGAATTAGAAAATTCAAGCTTTTGGCAAAGAGTCATTTCCTTTGAATTTGTGTGCAAAAAACACAATTCCTTTGTGACTTTGAGTTTTAGTTCTTTATTTCGATTTCCACCGATTTATTTTAATTGAAATGAGAGTTTGAAAAAAATATTTTAAATGAAAAAAAGTAATTTTTTATTAGAAAAAATCCAAAAAATAATGAAAAGTTTCTTGTGAAAAGTTAGCAAAACTGAATAAAAAAATTAGTTATAAAACCGTTCTGAAAACATCAAAATACAAAAAGAACAAAAAGAAATAAACCTATTAAGTCAATTTTAGAAGAAAATATTAATATATTTTTGCAAAGTTTTGGTCCCATTTCTTTAATCACATTTTTCCCATATTTTGGATAAAAAGATTTAAAATTAAGTTGAGTAAAAGTTCAATTTCTGATTGGTTTCAAAACTTTGATTTTCTTTTTCATTCACTTTTAATTTTACAATACAGGTTATTTCGGAAAACAGTAGAATGTTTAAAATATACGAAATAATGATTATATTTTTAATATCTCTTTAAAGAAAATGTTGACTAAAAATGTAAAAAATACCCATAATTAGGAAAAAGATTTTCTAAATGATCATTTGACACTTGGAATGTTGAACATTCTGGCTGCCAGGAACACCTTAGAACAGAAAGATAGGACTAGTATTTAAATTGTAAAGGTTGATATTTCAATTGATATTTTATTAACTGAAAAGTTTAAAGGATTCCATATTTATATTTAAGGGAAAACGAATAATTTTTGGGTAAAAAATTATGAAAAATGATGAAAAAACTCTACTCCTACTCTAAACCTCTACTTATACTCTAATCCTATACATCTTTAAAACTCTACTTCTACTTGCAACCTCTACTTTTCTAAACCTCAACTATAAAACTCTAAACCTTTACTTCTACTCTAAACCTCTACGACTTCTCTAAAGGTCTATTTTTATTCTAAACCTCTTCTAAATATCTCAATCTCCAAAACTTTTTTAAACCTTTGTTAATTCTATAAACCTCTCGTCCATTATACTTTACTAATTATTTGACTTATTCTCAAACTTATATTTACTTTTTTCATAATTCTTCCAAAATCTCTTCTATCGTCATAAACCGTTCTCATTCTTTCCCGAGAATCTAAAAAAATTCTAAACCTTTACTATAACTATCATCTTAAACCTTTCTTTCTCTTCTAAACCTCCTATATCATTTTCCAATAATCTGCTACTATTTTAAAACTCTAGTATCATAAAAATCTACATACACGTACCACCTCTTTAAACGATCTTCTACTCCTATCCTAAATAAATCTCTAAATACTTACTATCTCTCTAACCTCTCCTACTACTAAACTTATCCTGAATAAATCTTTGGTCGCGTATTATCTCTTTAAACCTCTCCATCTAAACCTCTCCTAAATAAATCTGTAAGGACGTACTCTCTCTCTCTGAACCTCTCCCCCTGCTCTGAACCTCTGGTTCCCACAAAACCTTTTATATTCTGAACCTCTACCTAATCCTCTCTCTCTCCCTCCACCAAATTAAGTTTTGAAATAGTTTCTAAAAACTTAGGTTGAAATCTTCTTTGATGGGTTATTGCCGACTATTCTATTTGAATATGAATAGTATGAAGAAACTAAACTACACCATACATACTAGGGGGTGTATAGTATAGTATAGTGTAGCGTTTTTTTTAGTGTAGCGTTTTTTTAGTGTAGCGTTTTTATAGTGTAGCGTATTTATAGTATGAAGTTTCTAGGGTTTCTATACGGTTCTAACACAAGAAAAATGCTCTCCCTCCAGGCTGGTCCGACCTACTTCCTAATTATAGGAAATCTCAATCTCACTTTATCCCCCCTCAGGGTCTATCCTCTAAATCCTGGATATTAATTGAACCCATTTAACAGTTTAAAATACACCTGGGGGACTCAGAAGATACATTTTCCTCAGCTGCGGGTACTTTTTAATACAGGGACATAGCTTCCTCCATCTATCCTTCATCCTTCACTTATCTTTCCTTTTCTACACCTATTCATCTATTTCATCCTTTCTTCATCCTTTCTTCATCCTTCCATACTATCTTCTTTCTTCATCCTTTCTTCATCCTTCCATACTATCTTCTTTCTTCATTCTTTCATTCTACTTATTTTCTTCATCCTTCCATTCTACCTCCTTTCTTCATCCTTTCATTCTATCTTCTTTCTTCATCCTTCCTTTCTACCTCCTTTCTTCATTCTTCCATTCTACCTCCTTTCTTCATCCTTTCATTCTACCTCCTTTCTTCATCCTTTCATTCTACCTCCTTTCTTCATCCTTTAATTCTACCTCCTTTCTTCATCCTTCCATTCTACCTCCTTTATTCATCCTTCCATTCTACCTCCTTTATTCATCCTTCCATTCTACCTCCTTTCTTCATCCTTTCATTCTACCTCCTTTCTTCATCCTTTATTCTTAATCTTGCATCCTTCATCATTCATCCTTCATTCCTTCTCCTTCATCCTTCATCCCTAAGCCTTCATCCTTTATCCTTTATCCTTCATCAATTATAAGGCAGGCAGGGAGGTTAAGGAGAGGGAGGTTAAGCAGCAGACCATATAAAGAAAGGTTGGCAGTTGTATAAATATAGAGAATAAAAACTCAATTCATTACACGTGCTTACTATTCCGGAACCCAGTAGAGTTGGCAGAACCCAGATACAATCCTTCAACTTTACAGAAGAAGAATCTCTAGGAGGGTTTCTAGACACTGATCACAGATATAAGAACCCGATCTTACAGTTTCCATATTTTACATCACAAAATATAATCATTCCACAATCAACTCAATTCTATTCTGTAGTACCTTACTCTACCCTATACTATTCTATTCTAGTCTATTCTATTCTGTTCTGTTCTATTCTATTCTATTCTATTCTATTCTATTCTATTCTATTCTATTCTATTCTATTCTATTTATTATATTCTATTCTATTCTATTCTATTCTATTCTATTCTATTACTATTCTATTCTATTCTATTCTATTCTATTTTATTCTATTCTATTCTATTCTATTCTATTCTATTCTATTCTATTATATTCTATTCTATTCTATTCTATTCTATTCTATTCTATTCTATTCTATACAATATACATATATAAGTTAATATCCTCTGTAAACTGTTTGTATTTAATATGACTGCAGTATAGCTGTAGTGTGCACCTGGATACAGGCCTGGTTCAAATTCAGGATAAGTTTACGATGTAAGCTACTGGAATATAAAGAATCCAGGGTAAAGACAACTCTGGAAGTATACTGATAAACCCAGTATGATCAAATTTACAATTGGATTTAGTAAAATCCTATCTATGGACATTACCAGTGCTTAGGATACGGATCCATATTATCCGCAACAGTTTTGTATCCTGGTTACGCGGATCCATAATATCTGCAACAGTTTTGTATCCTGGACACGCGGATCCATAATATCCGCACTAGTTTTGTATCCTGGATACGCTGATCCATAATATCCGCAACAGTTTTGTATCCTGGATACGCGGATCCATAATATTCGCAACAGTTATGTATCCTGGATACGCGGATCCATAATATTCTCAACAGTTTTGCATCTTGGATACGCGGATCCATAATATCCGCAACATTTTTGTATCCTGGATACGCGGATCCATAATATCCGCAACATTTTTGTATCCTGGATACGCGGATCAATAATATCCGCAACAGATTTTTATCCTGTATACGTGAATCCATAAAATATCCGCAACAGTTTTGTATCCTGGACACGCGGATCCATAATACTCGCAATAGTTTTGTATCCTGGACACGCGGATCCATAATATCCGCAATAGTTTTGTATCCTGGACACGCGGATCCATAATATCCGCAATAGTTTTGTATCCTGGATACGTGGATCCATAATATCCATAATAGTTTTGCATCCTGGACACGAGGATCCATAATATCCGCAACAGTTTTGTATCCTGGACACACGGATCCATAATATCCGCAACAGTTTTGTATCCTGGATACGCGGATCCACAATATCCGCAGCAGTTTTGTATCCTGGATACGCGGATCCACAATATCCGCAACAGTTTTGCATCCTGGATACTCGGATTCGCAAAAATATGCAATTCTATGAATCAAGAAACAAGAGGCATAATATCAATAAAAACTGTAAAAGACAAATTGTCAATTATTGAAAAGAGAGATTATTAAAAATTTCCTTATCTTTGAATGATTCATCAGTTTAAGCATAAAAATAAGAAAAAAAGGGGAAAACAATTTGAAAATTCTTCTTTTGTAAAAAAATCAGTGAATCTTAAATGAATGTTCATGACCTAGATCAGGATCCGCATTAAAATGAAACTGATCCTAAGCACTAGAAATTACATATGGAAAGAATTTTGGTTCAAGATCTGAATCCACATTTGTATGCTTGGAGATGATTACTCACATTTATTTAAGAAAGCATGAATCGGCGGAAAAGTCAGAAAACTCTACACAAGCAACCATTGAGGTCCATCTAGTCCATCTAATCTTGTTAGCAGTACAGCCTTACTTACTATACTACAGTGCCTAGGTTTTTTTTGATAAATTACAACTCTCATTATTTGTCGAACAGATAAATGATCTATCTTTGTTTCAGAGTAATTTGTACTGAGTGACAGATTAGAAACCTAACCTAACGATGGCCTGGGGGTACTGGAACGCACATTCTCTTACACACGCTAAGACTGGCCGGCACGCTAGCCCTGCTCCAACAATACATACCCGGAGTAGGGATCAGTCCTTGGAGAGGGATCGGAGGGAGATAGAGCAATCAGCGTGTCCGACCCCGTCAAGAGTTTCTGTGTGTACAAGTTCTACTCCAGGTCCAGGAGGACGGAGTAGCTCCGGAGAAATACAAAGTCCTGAGCGGGAATTGGGACAGAGAACTAAAAGTGAACGAAGTACTCTACCTCGGGGTAGGACGAGTGAAGAGGGAGAATGGATTCCTGTGAGAAATACTCTTCCAAGAGGGAAATCAGATTGTGCAGATACTGGTTGGGGGACTAGTAGATCATTGTCCAGGGGTAAATCTGATAGTGACTGGGGGGAGAGATGTACGCTCCCCAGGGGTGGGAAATCAGGAAGTGAAGGTGAATTCTGCCCGGCTTGCACTAGCTGCAGGGTCAGCTTCCAGTCAGTTAAAGAGAGCAGAGGTTCGCTCACAGATGGAGGAACAGTAGGAGAGAAATCTCATGATAGCTCCGAGATACTTTCCTCTTCTCTTCCAACCCCTCCTCCTCCTCCTTTCCAGGATTGTCATTCTTTCAACAGTTTTAAACTATTCCTGAGGTCGAGGGAGGGGGGATTGAATTATGATTAAACAAGTTTGGAATATGTTTCCAGGGTTCCTCATCAAGACTTTTCAACATACAGAATATTTTCAAATATTAATTTATTTATAAGAAAAGTGGGAAAACTTTGTATAAAGGAAGAAACATGGTTTGAAGAAAATTAAAGAAAAATTTTGCATTTGTTGAAAGTTTTAACAATGGTTCTCCAGGCTAGTCTGAGCAGAGAGGGTGGGCGAGGAGGAGGAACTGAGATCATGGAAACATTTAATTTGAAGAGAAATAGAGAGGAAAGAAGACGAAGACAGGTATTATAAAGGGAAATTAAAAATTTAAAAAAACTTGAGAAAAATATTTAATTTTTCCAATCATTACATGCGTGCTTTTAAAAAGAATTGATTACTCGCCTCGAACTCTGTTTTTCTAAACTTATATCTTTGCAACCTCATGCTGTAGATCTGGGAATTCTACTAGATCGAGTAGTCTATAGTATGAATAGCATATCAAAGGTTTACACCATCAAGTTGCAAAGATTATAGGCAAGTAATCAGGTCATTTGTAAGGATTTAAATTTTGAGTCAAAAAACGGTAAAACAATAAAGATTTTAGCAATCGATCATTGGTTCTTTTATTAACTTTAATACTTTTCATGGTTTCATATTGAGTTTAAATTAAATTCAATAAATTATCTTTTTGTTACAGTTTTATCACAATAAAACCAATAGGAGACTGGAACTTTTGTTACAGTTTTATCAAAATAAAACCAATAGGAGACTGGAACTTTTGTTACAGTTTTATCAAAATAAAACCAATGGGAGACTGGAACTTTTGTTTCTACGAATAAAGCTAAATCTTAGAAAGATCGTTCTCTCCCTCTTAGGAAGTCTAACCTCAACCGTTTCTATGATCCGTCGTTAAAGGGAGTGTTCGCAAAAAATGAAAACTTGGGTATAGGCTTTCGGCGAAAATAAGCGCTTTTGATTGCTTCTAATCTTACTTCTATCTGTTGCGTCTATAAGGAGAAAATTATTAAAAAGACTCATGCTGAAGAACGTAGCGTCCTTACAAACTCAGAAAGTAACAACATTTACCTCGGATCGTAAAATAATCAATTTAATTCCAAACAAATCATTCAGATATTAAAACCAATAATCATCGATAATTTTTCGACGCATTTGAATATAGTTAATATTTCATAATTTTGATTTTTTATGATCTGATAGTTACTTTTGGAAACATTTAATCATATTTTCTAAGAATGTTCGAAAATCCAGCGCCAGCGAAATATTATCTTAAAAAACGAAATCAAAAATATTATGAAATATCCACTATATACGAATGCGTCGAAAAATAATCGATAACTATTGTTTGTAATATCTGAATGATTTGTTTGAAATTAAATTGATTAATTTACGATCCGAGCTGAATGTTACAAATTTCCGAATTTGTATGGACCCTATACGTTCTTCAGCATGAGTCGTTTTTAACAAATTTTTCCTTATAGACACGACAGAGAGAAGTAAGATTAGTAGCGATCAAAAGCGCTTATTTTTCGCCGTAAGTCTATACCCCCTTTCATTTTTCGCAAGAAATGTTTAAATTGTCAACAGCCTGCAGCACCAGTGATTTTTTCCGCAGAGCAAAAGACAAAAAACAGCGTTTTTTAATGAAAATTAAGGATTAACAGTACTTGGTCCACAATTCCAAGATAGGAAGATGGTTGATTTTGTAAACCAATATTTCAGCGAATGGTGGCCATTTCCTCTGAGATATATATTTGTTTTAAACTTATTCAGAAAAGAAACGTCTCGTACAGACCTTTAATATTTCAAACTATGTATTCTGATAGATCAATTAGTCTAAGTTTGAAATATCAAAATTTTACAACACCAGGTTGCAAAGACATAGGGATTAGAACGTTTGAGTCTGTGGCAAAAACTCTATTCCTTTGCAAGGAAAAAATAACATTTGTTATGAAAAGATAATAGATTTGGTTTTAGAAAACTAGTAGTCTTTTGGATAATTCTGACCATTGTACAATATCTTTTATTTGTTCAGAACCTGCGGAACTCATGCTCTAGTCATGAATCCCATAAATCCTCAGCATCTCATCGTAGTTCAGAGGAGGAGAATGTGGACAGCGGGTGCAGGACGGATTCAACAGGAAGACAAGGCAAGAGAACGTCGTCGCACACCCGGACTCCATCTTCAGAGAGACAGTTCGGATCCTTCTCCGAGGGGTGCTCAAAGGAAGGGAGCAGTGATGGGAACCAATGTAGGTATCCTTGCTGTCCCTCCAGGGACAAGGAGAAACGGAGTTTACCCTCGAGTTTGAAGAACAAAAACCGACCGGATACAAGTACTTCAGTGGATTCTAAACCTAGTAAAAATAGCTCAAGTGGTTCTGTAGACCAGGAGAAGAGGGAGAAGCTTGTACCTACTGGAAAGGTGAACAATGCAGTGTTCAGTGATGAAACAGATTCACCCAAAGAATGGAAAACTTTTCGTGATAACGACTCTACCAGGTGGAGAAACGTAGAAAAAATTAGTTTTAATGGTGCTCAGATTTGGCGTGAACGAGCTCAAGTTCGGGGGCGGATCAACTCCGGGACGGATTCAGGAGTTTCTCCACCGCGACGTTCTCTTCGCTCCCTCACACCTGATGATGATTCAATATCATTTCATGAATCCCTGGGACGGGAGCTCACCCGGAGAAGACGGAACCGGAGAAGATCAGGTTCCTGTTCTTCCCAGGGGGAGGAGGAGGAAGAGGAGGAGGATGGAGTAAAGAGAAGATCTAAAAGGTTGGATTCAGCCAACTCTACCCACTCAATAACTGGTGCTTCCAGCAGAAATTCATCTTCTAAATCCTCAAGCAGGTCTTCTAGATCCCCTAGCGTGGAATTTATAAAGCAAGGTAATACATTTTTTTTCATTTTGCGCAAAATTGTCCAACAATCGTTGAACAATCCCTTTAAATCCGTCAATATATACATTCATAATGTAAATTTATTTTTCATTTTTTTTATTTCATTGAGATTTTTTAGGATTGAAATCTTTCTGTAGAGTAACAACAAGTTTAGGATGTATAACTAATATTGAGATTAACGTAGATTCCACATTCAATACTTTTAAAATGGAAATTATAGCATAGCTTATTGTTGATGACAAATGTTAGATTAGCCCAAACTTACATCTCAAAAACTAGTAAATGGACTGCAAAGTTCTTAGAAGTCAAACGATTTTTACTTGAAAGGTTTGTTCAATTTGCGGTTTATCTATTGAGTAACTCTGGGGTTTATTGCTTTAAAAACGTTGGAGGCATTGTGAGAATTAAAGACTTTAAAAGCTTCATAGAAAAATGACGATATCTTCTAAATTATTGATTAGATAAATGTTTAAAAGTTACTTTTGTGAATCGGGCAAAGCCCTTTTTTATATTTATATTTAGGGTCAATTAAATTTCAAAGACAGGATCTGTTTAACCAACATTTGTATTGGAAAAACTACAGGAAGAATATGCTCGCATAGTATGCACAAATGAGAAATTAAATGAAATAATTAAAATAAAACTATGGAATTACATATAGGTCACTCACTCTAGCAGTCCAGGAAATTCTGAGTATTCAAAGTTAACGTTGAAGAAAAAATATGAATCAATTAGAATTCGGAAAATTTATTCAAATTTGTTTAAATTTTCTAGAATCCTTATGGAAAATTTGATTTAATGTGTTGATGCCAGAATACTCTGTTCCGTGGATTTTTTTTGAGGGGGGGGGACGAGATGTGAGTTTATGACAGATATATACAGAGGTATACACAATAGATGAGACTTCAGAGACGACTATACGGAATTTTTACTGTCTGTTTCCTTTATTCAAGATTCCCTGAAACTGTAAACCTGTTTCATTCTTCATTAAATCATTTTATAAGCTATTAAAATACAATACTAAAGGCAGTTGACTTAGTTTAACCTTAGAATCATCATATTTTAAGAGGTTTAGGTCGTCTTTACAGTCTCATCCTTTGTGGGTAACCCTGTAAATAATAAAATGTGAAGTTAAATAGAGAAATAAAAACATATAAATATTTATATTTAAGTTAAAATAATTTTTTAATTGGGGAGAGGGGAGGGGAGGGGGGTTTTTAGAAAATACTGAAAAATGTTTCATTTTTAGGCTGCAGTTCCATACAATGTATAAGAGGAAGAAAAAGTCTCCGTTAGAGAACAGATCCCTGGGTTCATATATCAAACTAGAGAATACTTCAGAGTATGGGATGGATCTTTTGGTACAAGATCTAAAAAGCGACTAGAGCATACGACAAATCCCTGGGTATAAAGATCTTACTAGATCCTCGAGCATAGGACGGATACCTGAGACAAAGATCTATCTAGAGAATCTACGAATCCCTGTGTTATCATCTAGTTATAAATAGGAGAGTTTCTGTTCCTAACTACAGGCTGGTGCAACTTAAGGTTTAGGATTCTGTATCTGAACTAAGACTGAAGACTGTGGAATGGATCCCAGGCATCAGTTTCTAACTACAGAGACTTGAGTATAGGATGGATCCCGAGGTTCAGAATCTAACTTAAGATGCGAGAACAAGACGGATCCCAAGGTTTAAGGATCTAACTACAGACTAGAGCACAGGACGGATCCCGAGGTTCAGAATCTAACTTGAGATGCGAGAACAAGACGAATCCCGAGGTTTAAGGATCTTACTATAGACTTGAGCACAGGATGGATCCCGAGGTTCAGAATCTAACTTAGGATGCGAGAACAAGACAGATCCCAAGGTTTAGGGATCTTACTATAGACTTGAGCACAGGATGGATCCCGAGGTTCAGAATCTAACTTGAGATGCGAGAACAAGACGGATCCCGAGGCTTAAGAATCTTTCTATAGACTTGAGCGCAGGATGGATCCCGATGATCAGAATCTAACTTGAGATGTGAGAACAAGACGGATCCCGAGGTTAAAGGATCTTACTATAGACTTGAGCGCAGGATGGATCCCGATGATCAGAATCTAACTTGAGATGCGTTAACAAGACGGATCCCAAGGTTTAGGGATATTACTATAGACTTGAGCGCAGGACGGATCCTGAGGTTCAGAATCGAACGTTACTGAGAATTTGAGTATGGGACGGTTCCAAGGGGTTCAGAATCTTGAGAAGAGGACGAATCTAGTAAGAGACTTGAGCTCATGATGGTGGACTAACTAGAGACTGAAGACCCGGATGGATCTTTATCCAGGATGTCTCTTGATGACAGAACTCTAAATCCAGAAGAAAATGTAGCTAGAACCTAGGGACTTGAATCAAGGACGGATAGAATGTTAGATGCATAGAGACATAATAATAATGCAACATTCCTTTCTCAGGACAACAGGAGTTGTTTGGTTTAATTTAAAACCTGTCTAAGTTTATTAGTCCTTGAAGAACCAAGCGTTTTCGACATTAAAGGGACTGTCACCGTAAATCAAAGTGGAGGTGACCCCCCGTTAAAAAATATTGGCATGTCCGATTCACACCGGTATCCTTAAAAGCTTTGTCCGATCATACTATGCATTAGATATCCATGTCTTTAATTCAAAAACTGTTAATTTCAATTGCGGGTTCTCTACAAAAGTGACTTGCGCATTTCTACAGCAGGAAAACAATTTAGGATTTATCAAAGTCCAAAAGTTTTTAGGCTAGAAAAACGACGTTATCTTCCACGTTAATGAGCAGATAAAGGTGTCAAAGATACCGTCGTAAACAAGGTAAGGCCCTTTTCTGAAATGGAGGGTCACTTGAAATTACAAAGATAGTCCCTGAAAGAGATCTTTACAATAATGAGTATCTAAGATGTTGATACCGTCATGAGCGCTCAAAATTATCCTTCAATGTCAATATATCTCAAGTCTCAAGTATTATTGCAAAGACGACTACTAGTAATTATTTCATTTGTCAAAAAACGGAAAAAATATCTTTTGGAATTGTCTGGGACTGTTTAGAATTCATAGAATTGGGAAAAGATTAGATGTAGTGCATTTTTTCTAGTTCAAATGGTGCTAATTTGTACAACTTTTGTACTACTTAAACCCTTAAAGGAATTTTTCTCAAAAAATTAACGGGGATTTTAATTGAAAAGCATTGATTTATAAATCCCCGTTAGCAGCGATGGGGTAGTTATTGTTTTTCCTTTACCCCCTTTTCTTTTTTGAGAACACTTCCTTTAAACTTAAAAAATTCAAATCCAGCAAATTGGCTGAAAGACAAAGAATTCCAACCTAGAAAGAAAAATATTATTCTCGTCAAACTGTTAGAGAATTTAAATCTCAAACAAACAAGTAAAGAAATCTAATGTTAAAGGGGGGAAGCGCAAACAAGAAAAGAAATCTAATGTTAAAGGGGGGAAGCGCAAACAAGAAAAGAAATCTAATGTTAAAGGGGGAAGTGCAAACAAGAAAAGAAATCTAATGTTAAAAGGGGAAGCGCAAACAAGTAAACAAAATTTAATCTTAATGGGGGGGAAGTGCTGACAAGTAAAGAAATTTAATGTTAAAGGGGGGAGCGTAAACAAGAAAAGAAAATTAATGTTAAGGGGGGGGGCAGACTTGAAAAGGGGAGAAAGTGAGCAATTAGATTCTTTAACTGCAGTTATTTCCTGTACTTTTTTATAATTCAAATGTTTTCGATAAACTGCGGAGAAAAATAGAAAAAAAAACTTAGCTTAAAATGAACAATTCATCACGGTTAAAAATATTTATAAAACCTCTGTACATAATAAATCTAAAAAATCAAATGTTTAATACAATGCAACAAGGAATTTTTCAAATAAGTTGAAGAATTTAATGTATGTCCTCCATTTAAAACATTTAGATACTGTAAAATTTATTTTAAATTTACCAGAATTTACTTTTCTGTACTTAGCTGTACTTGGTTAATAAATGTTTAGCACAGGAAACCCTCGAAAAAATGTACGCTAAAACTGTTTCCAGGACAAATGTTAACAAATTCAGTGGTCCACGTGCTAAAATGAACACGACCCCAAATTCTTTTTTTTGATCTCACTCCGCGGCAAAGAGAATATTTTTCTGGGTGGTTTATTTACTTATTTTCTTGATTTTATCTTTAATCTGTGATCAACAGTTTCGGATTAAATCCTAGTGAACAGTCCCATGTTTCCAATATTTATCAATTTAATAAAAGGTTTATTAGATATTAAAACTATATATTGATATATTTTTACCCTTACTGCAGGGTGTATGCTGTACATACACATTTAATCTAAAACCAATATGTGTAGTGTACATAAACTTGCAGTGTATGTACACAATTTACATTTATAATGTATATAAAACTTATCTTTCCCCATAATGACTGACTCAGGGGAGAAAATGCTCGTCAAATGTACGAAAGAAAGTAAACAAAGGAAAAGACTTGATACGCATATTAATGATGGGAAATGTATATAAACAGTTACAATTCACAGCCAAAAATATTTACATTTATTTTTTTCCTTTACCTTGCATCAATATACTTCCTTTTTTTACTTTCCTGACAAAAATGTATCATATCATAAAATGAGTGCGTGCTGTACTGCGCAGTACAGTACATAGCGTATTCTGTAAATTGTACTCGGTGTATTGTACAATGTACACAATAAACTATATTTCATCAAAGACTAAAGGGTAACCTTACAACTGACGGCGAATTTTCCGGATTTTTTTTACATTTATGGTTCTCTGCCACTGTACACTTTTAAATCATTAGAAATGCTTATTCAAGAACTATAGTAAAGCTCAGCAGAAGACCAAACCTTCAAATCGTCACACTGAAAATGTTTCAGATCATCATTAAAGTTTACAAATTACTCTGACGTAGTAGGATGTATATACTCAGGATTTCTAGTTTTATTTTAAACAACCAAATAGTAGTCCCTTAGCTGTCCTGCGTTACACTAAAATGTAAACAACCCCTTGTACCCTTTCCTAAGATGCAAATGTATGGTGTATACACTGTACAGTACTACTCAATACATTACACATGCATAATGTATTGTGTACAGTGTACACTTAATTCTGTTCTTCTCCCTTCTTTTGTTTTCTTCATGCATCATACCTTTCTTCCTTTTATTTATGTGCATCCTACCATTCTTCCTTTCATTGATCCATCCTACCTTTCTTCCTTTCATTGATGCATCCTACCTTTCATCCTTTATTGATGCATCCTACCTTTCTTCCTTTATTGATGCATCCTACCTTTCTTCCTTTCATTGATGCATCCTATCTTTCTTCCTTTTCTTCCTTTCCTTAATGCATTCTACCTTTCTTCCTTTCATTAATGCATACTACCTTTCTTCCGGTCCTTAATACGTTCTACCTTTCATTCTTTCCTTGATGCATCCTACTATTTTTACTTTCCTTTATACATCCTTCTTTTCTTCCTTTTTTTTTGATGCATACTACCTTTCATCCTTTCTTGATGCACCCTACATTTCTTCTTTTTATTAATGCATTATACTTTCTTCGTTTCCAAGATACATCCTTCCTTTCTTCCTTTCTTTGATGCATCCTACCTTTCTTCCTTTCCTTGACACAATTGTAAAAATACCGAATTTTTGTGATTTTTTGTTTACAGTTTTTAATGCTAGTGTTATATAATTGAACCTTTCTAATCGGCTCATCTTGATGTTTAAGTATAAATTGTAAACTCAATAATCATGTACTTCCTATAAACCCTAGTACATGCATCTCAGCATTATATATATATGTATGTATAATGTATAGAATGTACATTGTACATAATAGTTTAACGCACAGTAACAATTGTACAGAGAAACACTGTAAAACTCACGTGTTTTATAGTGACATGAATAAAGTGAAATATTTATAAACAAAACGATTCCATTTTCTTTCTTTTTTCAAAAATCTGTGTTGAAATTTAGATTATTCTTAAGTACTTCTCCTGATTGTTGTTGTTCTGGGACATTTATTCTTTTTTATATTTGGTTTGGTTGAGTATTTACTAGATATGATGAAAAAATAGTAATGTTATTTCTGTCCTACGGCATTTCCGTCCTTCGATCGATACTTCGGACCTACTACAACATCAGACCTACGACAGCTGGAGTTCGGATGTACATTATATTTTGTTAATTATACGTGCAGGAACCTCAGATCTAGTCAATTATAATTGACAGTTCTACCGTAAGGATCACTGTTCCGGTTGCACACAAATTTGTAGGTCGGATGCACAATTTTCATAGGTCAGATACACACTTTTTGTATGTCGGATGCACACATTTTTTAGGTCGGAAGCACAACTTTTGTAGGTCGGATGAACACAGTTTGAGGTCAGAGGCACAACTTTCATAGGTCGGATGAACATATTTAATTGTATGTCGGGTGCACACTTTTCATAGGTCGGATGTTAGGTAATAAAAAAATGTTTATGAAAACGCACAGACGCACGGAAAAGATGACATATAACCCCAATTTTGATTTTGGGGCAGTTTACACCAATACACAAAATGGTGGTTTTACACTCTGTCCATACTTAATTTTACTCTCTGTAAATATTTTCTGCGAAAAGTATCAAAACGACCAATCTATATTTTTGAGTGAAAAAAACGCATGTTTTTTGTAAATCTTTTGCGTTTCGTAAAAAAAATATTCAACTTTCTGAATAAGAAAAAGAATGAAAAAGCTCTAAATGCGGAAATTAGATTTAGATGAAAAATATTAGATTTAGATTTGAGGAATTTTTCTGAAATAAAAGAAATGGTTTTGGCATAAAATCTAAGGTAATACCAGTGGTGAAGTAAAAGTGAAAAAATATTTTTGAATATTTTTAAATATTTTTAAAACTTCAAAATCTGCGACAGTTTGATTAAATTTTCTTTTATAAAGAAGCAACTTTGATCATAAAAGTAAATAAAGAAACTACAGGGTGTTTTAGAATTAGTGTGTTTTTTTTCATTTCAGGAAGATAAAAATCCACCTACAGTAGGTAGAAAATCAACCAGTACTTCTTCAAAACTTTACATTGCAAAACTATTTAAAAATCAGGAGTAATTCCAAACTCTTTTGTGTTGACCAGAATGTGGGTATTTTTGAGAATCACACAAGTAAAGCCAATATGTGACCAAACATGGTGATAACTATAGATCTTTTAGAAACTGTATATTTGTAGAGATCTAATAAATACTTTTTACATATAAAAGTTCTGATTCTTATGTTTGTGATAAAAAAATATATTTTTTCAAAAATACCTTATCTTATACGTCCGTTGTAGGATTATCCATTATTTTGAGATAGTTTCGCAATTTTATAGTTTTATACATATATAGTATAGGCTTTTGGTGGTTTTTTTTCTATCTCTTAACGAAATGAAAAATGACACTTTTTCAAAAACACCCTGTATATAGTTGAATATTTTATAAATTATATACAAAATAGAAATACTTCTAGTTGAGAAGTACACTCAAAAAACCTGTTCTAAGAGGGGTAGCACAATAAAGTTCTCTGTAAGGAAAACTAGTCCTAAAATTTGGCACCAAAAATGTCCTGTGGTAAAAAAGTTTCGGTAAATATAAAAGTCCTACCATTTTGAGACTTTATTTTCTAGGACTTTTCTTCAGGGAAAAAAGTCCCAGGAATCTAGAACACATGATTTTATTTATTTCCAGTTTAATTTTTTCTAGGGACTTTTTTCCCCAAGTTTTAATTTGAAGGTTTAGATTTGAAATAAATTGCTTTTTACAAATCTGTTACTACATTTTTACAAATCTGTTACTACATTTTTTTGATAATTGGAAAATTTGGTTTTAGTTAAGAAGTCTTCACCGCTTTAAACAATATATTAGTATTCAATTATATCATGCAATTTTACAGTGATAGCGACAAGGTTTTTAGATATAAAGTATATTGCCTTTTCCTAAATACTTTTTGTTGTTTCTTGATTGGATGTTACCTCTCTCGCATTTCCCGCAATTTCCTGTATCTTTAATTAGAGACTTTTGCCTTTAAGAGGCTGTTAACGAATAAATAAAGGTGATACAAATATTTCTATGATCTCAGTTTAAACTTTCCTCGAAAAATTTAGCCGGAAACCAGTTTTAAAGCGGGAGAGCCATGTGGTACTTGCAGGGGGGGATTCAGGAAATTGCGCCGGGGGGGGGGGCTTAAATTTTTCTTCTTTCTAGAGGAGGGGGGGGGGGGGCTCAGCACCCGTTGGGGCCTGAAAACCCTTGAAATCAATAGATTTCATTGGTCCAGGGGGGGGGGCTTAGCCCCCCCTGAATACTCCTCCGGTATTTGACAGCCTTAGTTATAAAAAAATCATTTCGCCAGAAAAATAGTGGAAGACACATTCAAACTTTATTAATGATTCCTTCTCATTGTCTGGGTGACAAAAAAAAAGTTGTCTAAGAGTCGGATACAAATTGTAGTTCATAAATGATAATGTGGTTCCGTGACTCCGGTCTCATCTTGGTGCCAATTCCGCTAGTTCACGTATACTATCTACGTCATATTTCTAGAACCTCGGCGGAAAAAAAAGTAGTTCTGTTCTCATTCTTACATAAAACCCGAGATTTGGAACGGCTAATTAAAGTCAACTTTTATTTGCTGGGACATTCATTCTATAAATAGGTCGTTCAGTAAACACATGTAATGTCAGTTGCACCAAATTTGACAAGGCGTAGGAGTTGTTTTCTTTTTTTCGGATCCTACAAGGATTTAGGACAGCTGCAGGTTTATCCGTAAAAGATGAGACTTCAAATACGACTGTGCAAAAATTATATTGTCTGTAAAATTGTGTCTTTCATTACCAAATAATTTAATCAGCCATTTCAAGGCTTTATCTGAGACATAATAATTATCTTAACCTTGGAATAGTCATATCTTTAAAGTTTCAAGTCGTCCTTCAGCCTCGTCCTTTGGAGGTAACCCTACCACTCCTGTATGCAGAGTCCATTAGCGTCTGATCCAATCAGGGCTCAGTATTCTGAACCAACAAAAATAGTATGGCAGTATCATCTATCTCTCTATCTATCTCATTATCCAATCAGAGTTATGAATCGGCGCTATCAGTAAATGGAAATATTTACTGAAATCATAGTGCGGCATATGACAAAGATTTAAATATCTGGTTAGAGCAAGAGATTTGTTTACTATCTCTTGTTTACTTACGATAAAACTAGTTCCTGTGATGTCTTTATTTTATCAGTAAAGAGCAAATTGTAACAAACATATTACTAAGAGTACAGCATACATGAAACGTGGAACCAAGAACAACTAAAATATTCCCAGAGATTAAACTAAAACTTTATACAATCATAATTATGTAATTTAGAGAATAGAGAACTTGTTTATTAACAGGGATCAAGTGCAAACCGAATTTTAAGGCTAGGATAAAGCAAGGGCGGCTCTAGGACGAAAGGTAAATCAAGGATGAAGGATGTATCTAGGATGTATCTAGGATGCAGGAGGTATCTAGGATGAAGTATCTAGGATGAAGGAGGTATCTAGGATGAAAGATGTAGCTAGGATGAAGGATGTATCTACGATGAAAGATGAAGGATGTATCTAGGATGAAGGATGTATCTAGGATGAAGGATGTATCTAGGATGAAGGATGGGCCTGTATTCTAAAACTATGATCCTAGTTTCTTATTGTCCAGCTCCCCGACAACAATGCCGTTTGTTTCTTTAATAAAAAACTTTTTACTTTTTGTTTACAGATTAAATCAGGTCTGAGGTTCCGGGTAAGAAAAAGTAAAAATACACAAAGGAATTATTTTTAAAACGTGATTTATATTTTGTTTTTAACATTTTCTTGGATATTGTTTTTAAAATAAATACTTTAACACGAGCCCTGTATATATTTAAAAATGTATATTACTATAATACAGTGAACAATAAAGAAAATACAATCAGGCCCAATTAGCCTTTTATAAATTTGTGAAATTTAGATCAAATTTGAAATATTGAAAGTTTTGGGAATTTTTAGAAAAATTAAAACAAAGCAAAAGCTAAAGGTTCTTTTTACATGAGGGTGCAATGCACATTACACAGGATTTAAATCAATGGTTTAAAAATGAGATTTCAGTTTTAAATATAAGTCTGAATGTTTCAGTTCAAAGGATCCTTTGCGTTGAATATAAATCCACAAAAAAAGACACATCTCATTGTTTATCATTGACTGTAGACGTAATCTGAGTCACAATAGGGAATATATTATCGTTTCTTATCTTTCTTATAAAGAGAACCCAGAAATATCAAATTTTAAATAGAATAACGAGGATAATTTTTTTTCATTTTGCGAAAACACTGGTTTAAAGGCTACAGGTGTGAATCGGCCATTCCCCTCTGTATAGATGCCACTTGAAATTACGTTGACACTCCCTTTAATGGAGATATTTCTTTTACGTTGACAGTCCCTTTAAGCCAGGATGTGTTATATTTGAACCATGTGGTACTCTGGAAAAAATGGAGATATTTCTTTTACTTTTAGCGAATGGTTTTTCAATGTTGAGCTTGCTGAAACATCGATAGGATAAAGAGTAAAAGAAAACAATGTATATAAATTCTACTTTGTTCAAGAAGCAGAAAGAAATTTGAAAAATATTTTATTCAAGAGTATTGTGGTTTTAGAAATTAAGGTTATCAAATATTTAAAACTCAATTATTATCTCTGATCACGATCCAAGTCAAAGGAAAGAAATTCAGTTTAAACGAAATTTCAGAATATACCATGCATACAGGTTACTTTATTTAAGAAATACACAAAAAAAAAGAAAACCATTGATATATAAATTTTCCTATTTACGGTATAGTTTTTTTGTGAGAATTTAGAAAAGTAAATATTAAAAATTGATTTTATTCTTTCAAAAATAACTCAAGCTAGCCAAGAAAAAGGAAAATCTAGGTCTAGATAGTAGAGAGAGAAAATAATCTAGGTTTACTAGTTCGTATGAAAGATAATCTAAGTTCACTAGGATAGTAGAGAAGATAATTTAGGTTTAATAGTATAGTAGGGAAGAGAATCTAGGTTTATTAGTTAGTGGAGCAGATAATTTAGGTATAATAGTAAAGTAGGGAAGAGAATCTAGGTTTATCAGTTAGTGGAGCAGATAGTTTAGGTTTAATAGTATAGTAGGGAAGAGAATCTAGGTTTATTAGTTAGTGGAGCAGATAATCTAGGTCTTGTAGTATAGTAGGGAAGAGAATTTAGGTTTAGTAGTATGGTAGGGAAGATAATCTAGGTTTACTAGTTAGTAGGGCAAATAATCTAAGTTTACTAGTTAGTAGGGTAGATAATCTAGGTTTATTAGTATGGTAGGGACGATAATCTAGGTTTACTAGTCAGCAGGGAAAAGAATTTAGGTTTACTAGTTAGTAGGGCAGATATAATCTAAGTTTACTAGTAAACAAACCAACAGATATAAGTGTAAAGTTTATGTACAGTAGTACAGCAATGTTTAATTTGTCCCTGTACGTCCATCAATAAAAGTAAACAAACAAATGCCCCGAAAATTGAATAATTTACAAAAAATAATAATGAACCAAAGCTGGATAAAACAACAAAACTAAGATGGAGAACATTTAAATATAATTCCGAGATTTAAGCTATTTTAAGCCAGTATGATTTGAATATGCGCATGGGGGGGGGGGTTAGAATTCAAGGTTCAAAGTGAAAAATTTAAAGGATAAGTTTCTTACCGTGAGATCGCAAAATCACAAATATTACAATTCTTTTAAAAAAAACTTCTGATTCATTGATTTAAAATATTTCTCCATATCTGGGGGATTTCTGTAAAAGTAAGTCAGAGTAAAAACTCTAAACTTGTAAAGAATGATCAAAATAACTTTTCTTTAATAAAGAATTTAATGTATCTAAGTTAAACCCCCTGTTGGCTTTCAGATAAATAATTTATCTTGGAGCAGAACGAGTTAGGCTTTTTCAAAGTGGGTGTGTAACAACAAATTTAAACAATTTTGTTAAAATAAAGTAAAACTTATGGTTTAATTCGGAAATATCAAGATCGAAGTGAAACCAAATAGCGAAAACATCATAAATTGACCGTGATCGACAAATTTAACGATCAAAGCATTAACAAGTCAAACGAAATGGAAGGATTCTTTCAGATAGTATTATGGCTGGTTGTTTCGAATGAATATTGTAAATAAGATAATAAATAGATATGTACGTACATTGTACAATGTACATAGTGAAAAGCAAATGTAATGCAATACTGTTCTCTGCAAACAAAGAGTTTCTGTACACTTGTATATATCATGTACAGATGCGTATACATATGTAAAGGATGTTTTTATATGTACAATATACATACACATTATACATGTACAAGTTGCAGTAACATACACAGGTTCTTTACATATACTTTTACTATACATAGTTTTGTACCCATGTACATTGTACATGATTCTATCAACATGTTCAAATTATATACACATGTACAGTTTCCATACATATGCACAGATCCCATGCAAACGTACAGATGATATACACATGTACAGGCTTTGAACACATATACAGGCATTCTATTGTTGTACAGATGAGAATTGAAAGAAGTAAGGCTGGGTCGGAAGAGCTAAGAATCCTACAGGTATTTCAGGAATATCAGATTCAACTCTTTTGTTCCTAAAACAAATAAAAACCGTTAAAAAGTCTTTTCCATAAACTCTCTGATCCTAAATCTTGTTAACGAAACGAAGTAAAGATAAAAAAATAATTTAAATTTGAAATATCAAAGGTTTGCACTATAAGGTTGCAGGTTGCAAAGATATAGGAAGTTCTTAACATTCCCACAAACATCACTTTTTTCTACACAAATATGTGGCTTATTTTCTTGACCCAAATAAAAGAAAAAGCAAAAAATAGGATGAGAAACTTACCTGATAATCGCTGCAATGATACCGGTGGTTACAATGGTAACTATCTTGTATCCTATACAGGATCTCCGTCCTGATGAGAAAGGCTGGAAATGTGATGGTTTCATAAATTTCCCAGTTCTCTGGTCTATAAATCTGTCCGGATTGTATTCCTCCGGGTTGGTCCAGAGTGTCTCGGAAAAGTTAGTGTAGTGATTGTTAATTATAACAACAGTGTCCTTGGGAACAAAATAGTCTGAAACAAAAACAAATGAGTTAAACAAAAAACTATGACAAGGCCATAGTTTGCGTCAAATATATTTATGTAGATAAAAATAAAAATCTTATATTTATGTTTAATGTTATGTTTATAAGAACGGAGGGCAAGATTTTTGTATCTAAAACCTGTATTTTCAGCCCTCACGCGATTCATTTCTCCCTAGACGCGACGGTTCAACCTTAGACGTCTGATATCTCATTGCAGCCAAGAGTGGGCAAAATTTCTCGATTTAAGAAGTTAAACTTCAATTTTATTGCTTTTATAGTGGATATCAAGCTAAGCGCTTTCTTCTTTAAAAGTGTTGCCCTTGGATTAAGAAGAATTAAAAGAAACCTCCTAGAGTAGTGTTAGAGTTGGCCATATGAGGAACTATTGCTGAGCAGGTGGTTCGGAGAGTTTCATGGAAGCAAGCCTTCAGATAATGAATATTTCCAACATCGTAGCTGCTCATCCTGGCAGCTCCAACCTCCTTCTCTATCTCAGCTCGGAGCTTCTCTTGAACCTTAGGGTTATCTGTTATGTCCCGGAGCATTCTAGAATATATATTATTAATATGACAAAAAGGCAAAAGAAACTGATTAATCGTCTCAAACTCTAATTTGAAAGCCCTTTGTTTTCGGCGTGGTTGAGTTACACTTTGATATTTCAAATGTTGAGCATCTTTTCATCCTGATGGTGTAAATCTTTGATATTCAAATCTTTGAAAAGAGCTGGTTTTGCTGCTTTTTTGTTTCCTACTGGAACAAGTCAAGCTGCATGTGTGTATTATTGTATCCTACTGAATACAAGAACTGGTTTTTGTGTTTTATTGTATCCTACTGTATACAAGAACTGTTTTTGTTTTGTTTTATTGTACCTTACTGTATGGAAGACATTATAGTTTCAGTAGAAGTAAATATTTCCATTTACTTATAGCGCCGATTTAAGGATTCATATCTCTAATTGGATAATGCAATTTCTATTGGTTCAGAATAGACAACAAACACATGACTGAACCCTGATTGGACCAGGTGCTTATGGACTCGGCATACTAGAGTGAAGAACTGATTTTCGTGGTTTTATTTTATCCTACTGTATACAAGAACTGCTTTTTGGTGTTTTATTGTATCCTAGTGAATACAAGAACTGGTTTTCGCGTTTTTATTGTATCCTACTTTATACAAGAACTGCTTTTTGGTGTTTTATTGTATCCTACTTTATACAAGAACTGCTTTTTCGTGTTTTTATTGTATCCTAATGTATACAAAAACAGCTTTTTGGTGTTTTATTGTATCCTACTGTATACAAGAACTGGTTTTTGTGTTTTTAATGTACTGTATACAAGAACTGGTTTGTAAGTTTTTAAAATTCAAATATAATTTCACTGCAAAATTATTGGACACAATGTTTTTATTTCAAAAGATTGAGGACAAATTTACGATTTAAATTTCAAAGATCTAGGAATTTATCCATTTCATTTATTCTCTCAACCATCGATAAATATCAAAAATTATCTGTAACAACTAGTTTAGTTTCTCTAGAATCGATATATTTAATTTCTAGATTAGAATCCAGGAAACCCGGCCGAAAACAATAAAATCAGAAAATGCTTGAATTTGAATTGAATATTCAGTATCCTGTTGGAAAAGGTTTCCACCAATACTGAATTTAGTAGAACATTAAATAAATTAAATTTATTGGCTCCCAGATATTATAATATTCATCCGCTCTTTCAATTCGTTTCTTATCTATATCTTACTATAATTCCTAGATCATCTTATCCTAACATTGAACACTGTAATCATCCTTAATTCTCTAGTAAAACTTAATTTTTTTATTTCTTAAAAGGAGTGACCGGCTATGTAAGGTAGTTGAACTAAGTATGCAATGTTGTGGAAAACTTCTTTTTAAAAATCTGTAAATCCTGAGTTCGAGCTCAAATTCGTCGTTCAAAACTCCTATTTTGGGGGTGGATACGTTTTCAGAATTAGTTTTTAAATTGTTAAATAACGACAAAATAAAATTTAAAAAAATTCTACAATTTGAACGTCAAATTTACGCTCAAACTCAGGATTTACAGATCTTTAAAAAGTTAAATATGTCTTAAAAGAATCCGGAAGAAGTTTTCCGCAACACTGCATACTCAGTTCAACTACCTTAAATAGCCGGTCACTCCCTTTAAAATATATACAGGGGTCCAACAAAACATGATAGTAAGTAAATAGTTTAGAATGTCTTCTTCCATCATTTGTTGTTGTTTAATACCAAAGACAATAACAAAAATATTATATAGGAGTCATATTATAGTAAAATTAATTTCAAAGTAAAATATACTTGAGCAAAAGATATTTTAAACGAAATAAACTGCAAACAGCCTTTATATCTAAGACAATGGAAGACGACATTCAAAACTATGTACCGACTGTCATGTTATGTGGAACACCCTGTACATTAGTATTAGCCGACAACCATCATTGCATGAAATAATGGTCGACGCTCCTCACCACCGACATGAAACAATGGTCGACGCTCCTCACCACCGACATGTATGACTTAATTCCAATTTTGATATCTGCCATGATCAAAAACTAAATATTTTGATATCTGCCATGATCAAAAACTAAATATTCAGTCCAATATGTCTAATCATAATCTTAAATTCTCAAATAATCTACTCTTATGAATCTAGAATTGATGGTTAATTGCATTCGACATTTCTGACACATCTTTAGTGATATTTACTCTTGTTAGGTGACCTTATCGTTATATTAGAGACTGCGCAGTGTCCTCCCAGGATATCCTCCAGAGCGTACAAAGCACACTCTCGGTTCAAGGTCGTCTCAGGGTCCTAACAAAACAGCGTAACATTTTTTAGTTTTTTATTGATAACTTGTAGTATATTATGTTTAACTAGATGTGAAATGTCTAGATGTGTAGAATAATTTCACATTTTATTCCATATTTGATAAGGAGCATTTTGAGTTAGCAATTATTTCTAGTGTTTGCTCACCTCATTTGCTTTATCTTCCTCTACTCTGGAGAACAGGCTCCCAACCAGGTTCTCCTGGTCGGAGCTCAGGTTGTTCTGCAGGATAACATCCATCACGTATTTTCTGATAGAACGACATTGAGATTTAACTCCAAGCATCTGAAGCTGCATGAGAATCATTAACTCCGGGATAAAGTCCACAGCGCGTCCATTGTTCACCTAGAGTAAAGTAGGAGATACAGATTAAGAAAGAATAAAATTTAACGAGAAAATGGAATGAATGGAGTAATAAGAAAGAAAAGGAAAAAGAAAGAATGGAAGAAAAAAAATCAAAGAAAAAGAATAAAAGAGAAAGCATTTAAAAAATAATTAAGGAAGAGAAAGAAAGGATGAGAATAAATGAAGGAGAATGAACGGTAGAGTAAGAATGGAAGATAATGAATGGAAGAGAAAGAATGGAAGAGAAATAATGGAAGAGAAAGAATGGTAAAGAAAGAATGGTTGAAAAAAAATAGAGGAGAAAGAATGAAAGAGTAAGAAAGGAAGAGAAAAAATGGAAGACAAAGAATGAAAGAGCAAGCATGGAAGAATAAGAAACGAAGAGAAAAAGAAAAGAGAAAAAATGAAATGATACTGAATACGGTTTTTTCAGAATAAAGGATAATTTTGAAATACTGAAATTATGTTAAAACAAGATGTACGGTATTAGATACTGATACTGATATTAATACTGATACTAATACTGACGCTAATAATAAAAAAGTAAAAATAGAGTATTGAATTCTTTGTTATAACGGGACTAAACATTCTAAAAACAGAATAATACTAGATTTCTAGATAAATTGAATTGAGTTTTCTAAGTAGTTTCTAGATAATGGATAAAGTTTCTAAGTAGTTTCTAGATAATGGATAAAGTTTCTAAGTAGTTTCTAGATAATGGATAAAGTTTAGAAGTGAAGTTAGCTGCATACCTCCCAAAACACTTTATCAAATAGATCTACGTATTTATTGTGCTGCAAGTCTGTGTAATCCTTGCGCTCAGTGTCACAGAAATATCCATTGAAAATGTTGCTACACGCCTAAAATAAAAAAGATGTGATTTAAAACGATGTCAATTTATGTAATTCGTAAACTTTAAAGTTTGTTCTTTGAATAATAGAATTAGTCTTCTTTTATTTAAACTCACAAATATGATTTAATAAAGAATAATTGCGGCAAAAAGTTAAATCTGCGAAATATTTACAGGATTTCCAACCTTTGAAAGGTAGAGTTTGATATCAGTGTTCTGGTTCAAATGCTCCAGGAAAATATCCAGTTCGCTGAAGATTATCTGAAAAGAGTAAGTTTTGAATGTCGTCTTACTGTTGATAAACTCAAAATATCTTGAGCTATTCATTATCTTTTAGTTTACTTCCAAAACTATAGTACCTGATCCAATTTATCGTATGACAGGGTATTCCTCCGAGGAAACGTGTGCGCTGCAAGTAGATTCTTTCTGATTTTCTGTATCTCGTCGTAATCACAGAAAGCCAGAGCTAAAGTTAAAAACATTGCAGCATCAAAATCGATTTTTTTTTCTTTCTTAAAGGGAGTGTTCACGAAAAATGAAAGGGGGTATAGGTTTACGGCGAAAAATAAGCGCTTTTGATCACTACTAATCTTACTTCTATCTGTTGCGTCTATAAGGAGAAAGTTATTAAAAACGACTCACACCGAAGAACGCAGCGTCCATACAAATTCGGAAATATGCAAAATTCAACTCGGATCGTAAACAAATCAACTTAATTCCAAACAAATCATTTAGATATTACAAACAGTAGTCATCGATTATTTTTCGACGCATTCGGATAAAGTTAATATTTCAAAATAATTTTGATTTTGTTTTTTAAAATAATTTTCGCTGGCGCTGGATTTTCGAACATTCCTGGATAATATGAAAATGTCGTCTTCATTATTAAAAACTCGAAAAATTACCGTTTTGTTTTGAACCTCCGAACATCAAGTGGAATCGGAGGAAGTTGGGTCGAGCGTCGAAGTGTTCTCCCCTCTCTATGAGAACCTGATGGATCAACCATTCATCGGATACTGAGATACAATCTGTAGTTCCTAGCCGCAGGGAGATCACATTCCCGTACTCCTAGATATTCATTGTATTTAAGATTTAAATACAAGTTTTATCTAATAACGTTTGCCTTCGATAAAAATAAAAGAGAAAAATGTCACATTTAATAAATTCTTCAGTTTTTTGATAATTATAGTTTTAAAAACATCGCCTTTGTCATAAAATAGCTATTAAAGATCTAAGACAATCTTGCAGACGTCTCCAATGGTCATATTATGGCAGTCAGAGAACATGAGAAATTAAGAAATTTTGCCCAAAATGTAAGGACTTTACGAACAAAGTTAAGAAAGGTGGATAATTAACGAATTTTGAACTAGCTCAGAGAGCAGTTTGTAAAGTTTACTATATATACAAACATAAAGACCTTGAATGCAAGATGGGATTCACCAGGAAACCTTGAATTTTGGTTTCATGGACATAATCTGAGTGAATATGAAACAGATTCAGGCCTAACATACCGAAATACCTCAATGAAAAATGATTAAGTTGAAACCCAATTTTCATACACTATACGTCAATCTTGTTTATAAAAACAATTTTTTTGTAAGCAAGCAAAGAAAAGGTAATTGCATTTTTTTTGACTTGGGAATGAAACAAATCAGTCATGAAATCGGAGAGCAAAAGGTCTTACTTACAAGAAAAGATTTAAGATTGGCATCTTATTTATGCGAAAAACTTTTAAATTGATCATATCTTTGCGAGACACTTATATATAACTATATTATTGACTATTTTAAAATAATCATCTTATTTTCATTAAAACCCTTATTAAAATTGATTTACACAAAAATACCTTATTATTGATCATCTTATTTTCGTTAAAACTTGAATCTTATTTACACAAGAAACTTTAAGTTTGATTATCTTATTTTCATAAGAAAATTTAAGATGATCATCTTATTTAAACGATCGCAACTAACAAAGGAATTAAGTCTTTTTCCACAAACTCATATTTTCTAGTTTCTATAACTTTGTAACCTGATGGTGTAAAACATCGATATTTCACACTTGGATTATTTGATCGAACAGAATTCGTAGTTTGAAATATCTTGGAAAATCAGAGTTTGTGGAAAAGACTCAATTCCTTTGCCGTTCTGTTAAATGGATGTAGTTTACAGAAGAAAGGGAAAAAACATTTGCTTAATTTTAAAAACAGAAACTTCCAAGAAGTTGAAAATCTTTCTCCCGCATTTTTGGATATTTGGAGTCACTGTGTACATTGTGGAATATATTCAGGAATTTTTTCCGCCGACAACTTTGTTCCATTGTTGGTTGGGTCGGAGGGGGGGGGGGGGGAGAGATAATCAATCAATACTTTGGGACCAGATCTATCAAGATTAGAATTGTGTATGGAAACATGAGTTTCTGGAAACCAACTCTACTGTCTCTAGGAGTGCCCTAAGTTTGGTCAGATACAACAAAACAAGTTTTTTTAAAACTTTTAATAAATACACTATATACAGGCATTCAAACCTTAATCTTACATAAAAAGTTTTTGACCAGAAGAAAGGTCTCCGGTGAACGAACCTTGTTAACCATTTCAGAAAACCTATTTTTTTCAAATTAGAGTTTTGTTCATATCTTTATAATTCTTTTGTTAAATTAAAAAAAATCATATTGTTTTTCTAATATTTTGAAATTAAGATCTATATTTAGTATGTGGACTATACACTGTAAATCTAGAACGAAGTTTTTATATACGAACAAACCTCAGTTTTCTGAATTCATACTTTTTCTTCAGTTATGGCTCACGTGCATTTTGTCCATGAACCAAACCCAAAATGATCAAAGATCAAAAACATTTCTTTATAATCATATTTCAGACCTTTTAACTAGTTTTATTCCTTCTCGGCCTATAATGTCAAATACACAACAAAAATATTGTTGTGGTTTTTTTTTGGGGGGGGGGGATTATTTTGTATTAGTATTTTAGAAAAAATTTCATTAAGTTCATAAAAATTTATCCGCAGGTTTAAAACTGAAATGGTAATAATAGTAATAATAACTAAATAAAAATAAAAGAAATTCCACTAAAAAGAACGAAAAATGAACCATCAAGAAATTTTACTCCTAAACACTTTATTGTGAAAATATCTATTTTGAAAGCTAGCTTTGGCTCAATAGTAGGGGGGGGGGGGCGACAAACCTTCGCACGAATTTATGTATTCTGACACTAATATTTTGACTATAAATCAATGTGTATTAATGATACAGATTTCAAAATATAAAAACTGATTTACAATTCGATCAACTTTGCTTTAGACTTACTCGCTCATCAAGTACTGTCGATGTTAATTCAAGTGACCCTCCAGAGTTTTATTTCTATCCAAAAACGGTTTAAAAATTTTCTTGCAGACTTGCAGCAAATAAAAGGATTTGACTGAATTGAACATATTTTAAGAAAATAACCTGACGATTTCTTCTTTAATGTTTCTAATTTAAAGGAATAAATAATACTGTTGTTAATCGAACATTTAACTCATTATTTAAAATTACGTTTCGAAGCAAAAAGTAGTTGGTCGGCAATCTACATTTATACTTGATGGGTTTAAAAGATAAAAATCTACTGAGGCAATTATTGTAAGACTAAAAGCGGTGGCTTATTAAAAAGCAGAATTGGGTTAAGTCAATCCATTTTTAATTTTTCAAGAACCTCCATAAAATTTCAAAGTTTTTAAAATTTAAAATATATTTTTTTAATATTTTGTAAAATTACAAAGATGTAGACAAAATTAGCTTGAAACTAAAAAAGCAAACTTACAATTTGAATTTTAAGTTAAAATTCGTAGATTTTTTGGAGCCACTTAAAACGAAAATTTCTTGAATATCAAAATAAAGGATTACAAAAATGCCCAACTTTAAACAATAGGAGAAAGAATCCACTAAACTCCTTTCATTTTTTAATCCTTGAACATATCAAACTTCAATATTGACTACTCAAGTTGTAAGTAATCATGTTTTTTTTTCTTTTAATACTATTACTGGAAAAAAATATGTGATTTGTCTTGAGTATAAGTTACGAAATATGTTTTTTAACGAAAATTCTTTGTTCTTGCCTCTTGGTTCGTCACTTTTAGAAAAACACATATTATGATATTGATTTGACAACGAAAAAAAAGTAATTTTAGCTACTATCTTTGCTTGTATATTGCTGATCCAAATCGAAAAATTTAGCCGCAAAAAAAAAGGTTGGCATAATTTTTTGGAAATTAACCATTTTAAACAGAAAATCATTGAAAATTTGTTTAATTGAGAAATGAATTTAGACCTGAATATTGAAAAAAATGTTAAAATCAGAGATTATAAGATGGAATATTTTGTAAAAAACTAACTCACCTCCTTCAGTTTTGTAAGAGCTTGAAAAGGATATTTATCCTGACCCATCAAATACAGGGATCCAATGATAGGATACTTGATGGGACCTGGAGCTTCCTTATACATTACTCCAGCATGTTTATTTTGATGGTTTACCAAGGGTTGCGGAGTCACGAATGGTATATATGAACCGTATATGCAATCCGTCTGAGAGAATCGAATATAATATCTTTTCACTATACTCTTCTTAAGAATTAGGCCTACAAGGATACAGAGAAGGACTGAACTCAGGAAACCTGACATAAAAATACTTAATGTCTCGGTAATATGATTAAACAGATTAGTGTGAGTTTACTGCTTACCTAGTACAAGCATGTTGGAATCCTAGGGTTAGGTTCAGAGAAGATTTATGCTCCGGTAGCTACTGGAGACGGGAGAAGGATAGGAGAAGAAATTTTAAAGTTTCGGATCGAACTGGGATTTGATCTGAACCTGTACCCTAGGAAGATCGTTTAGGACTGGGACAAGAATACTTGTCTAGAAGAATTATATACAATCTATTGTCTCTAGATATCTGATATTAACCCAAAGCACGACCCTCCTTGCTACAAAAGAAATTTGTACTATGCCCCTCTGCACCCCCTCTCTACCCATTAACTAACCGAACCTGTTCGAACCCACCTCTTCATACTTCGCGGTCGGCCAATGTTTAAAGCCAGTATCCGAGCTTGTTTCTCACAAAAAAATGACAATATCCGGTTGTTCCACTTTACTTAAACTGCCGGGTTCCTTTAGGTTAGATAATAGTTATATAAACTCCAATACAATACTTTTAACTGCATTTATCATGTAATTGAAACTGTTCAATCTATGGGAGAGTTGGCAGCGCTTGATTAAAATCTTGATTAATTTGAATTTCTACATAATCTTATGTTTTAATATAAAAAATGGATTACATGAAAAAATGAAATCTCAAGTTATTTTTTTAAAACTGTGAACAATTGGTCTGTCTCTAGGTACAATTGGCACAAAAAGTAAATTTCAGAAATCTACGAATGCTTTAATATATTAAAGGTTTTTTTACTAAATAAAGTAAAATGCAGGTTATTTGTGGCGAGTCTCCTAGCTTTGCTAAGAATTAAAAATTTTAATTTTTTCAAATCGTAAAGTAAAGGAATTAACGAAGCTAAATAGATTTAGGCAGCTAAATACAAAATTAAACCTACTTTAAATTGCGAAATACCATTTGTTTTTAAAGATATTTGTAGTCAAAAGACGACTTCCGTTTCCATTTTTTTTGTAGACCACAGTAGACTCTACATGATGAAAGTTTTAACTTAATACAGCGAAGATTAAGTTTAAGGAATTCCAGGGTTTGATTTAACATTCAACAATAGAAAATCAAAGTTTAGTTCAGGGTCCAGTAAATTCTTGGAAAAGTACAGATTCCCCTCATCCTCGTCCCCGGTTCTAAAGGACACACAGTCCAAATCTCAACCAGGATTAACTCCCTAGTTATAAAAAGCACACATGCTCACTTATACCAATATTTAACTTATCCCAATGTTTTAAGCCAATATTGGTATAAGTAAGCAAAAAGTTTGTGCTTCAACAACAACTTAAAGTTTGTGCTACAACAACAACTTAAAGTTTGTGCTACAACAACAACTTAAAGTTTGTGCTACAACTACAACTTAAAGTTTGTGCTACAACAACAACTTAAAGTTTGTGCTACAACAACAACTTAAAGGGTAGGAGTGGATGAGAGAAGATAGCAGAGGGGTAGGATAGAAGATAGAAAGGAAGGGTAGGAGTCGGTAGGAAAAGGTTAGAAATAGTAGGAGAGGGAAGGGAAGAGTTGGAGAGGGTATGGGAGAGTTGGATTGTAAAGGGTCGGAGAAAGTAGGAAAGAGTAGGAGAGGACGGGAGAGGGTGGGAGAGGGAAGGAGTGGGTAGGGGAGAGTTGGAGAGAATAGGAAAGAGTAAATAAAAGTAAGGAAGGAAAGGGAATGAAAGGAATGGAAAGGGTAGGTAAAGGTAAGGGAGGATAGGAAAGGGAAAGGAAGGATAGGAAAATATGAAACAGGGTCTCCAGGTATGATTGCTCCCCTACCCAGCTCCACCCCCTCTAAACCCTCCTTCAATCCTGTTCTACGAATCTACAGTCTGTAGTCTGCACTCTGCTGGTACAATCTGATTTAACATGTACTTTTGTTAAAACAATGATGTTTCAACTGTTTCTTTCAAACTTTAAAAGATTTCACAATCAAAAAATTAAATGTGATTCCCTGGGAAAAAAAACATTTGTTGTCATCATTTCTTGTTTATGCTACAAGAAGGAATAATTCACATTATAATCTAAAAAAGAATGGGTAGTTTTATAACCAACTTTTATGAGGCCGCTCTAAGCAATTTAAGAAATGGGGCTGGGTTCATTTTTACCTCTAAAATGATTTTCTTCGATACAAGCTTTAGTATCAATCTTTATAAAACAATCAGTGGAAAAATAAAATTAAGATTGAAAACTTACTTTTAAAAACTATGCACAACCAGATTAGTAAAAACAATTTTTTAATAGTTTTGCAGTGTTAATATATTTTTTTTTTTATATCTAAAAAAACATCTATCTCTGAACCCCCTCCTAGGTCTCTCCCTCCCTTAATCCAGACATTTTTGACTGCTGATGCCCCTATGCTAACGTCTTTTCAAATTTCAAAGTAAAAGATTGTCCATAAGTTCCAAAATTGAGCAACATGGTGAATATAAATGTTTCAGATTTCAAGGTTTTGTCTTTTAATAGTCTTTGGAAGAAAGAGGAAAGTTCAATGACGCTAGAATCTGTTTCAAATTTTCCTGTTTGGTTTTAAAATGGTCATATCCATAGAGAATAGAATATATATTAGAGGGGAATTTAGAGAATCTCTTGGTATGAATTTTGTCAGTCCCTTTCAGCCTGAAAGGGAGTTCAAAGTGTACAAATAATGTAAATGTTCACAAATTATATGCAGTAGAGTACATTATTACAGTATGTTCCCTATAGACTATTCATTTCAATTTCGAATTTTTTAAAGCTCTTAAATAAACTTTATAATGAATTAGGTGAATAAAAAACATCATTTGATTTATAGTTATAACGGAAAATAATCGTTTGTAAAGTGAAAGGCATAGAGTCTATGTGAAATGATCATTGGTCAATTATGAAACCATTTCATAATTTAGTTTTCTTTTAACATTAATTTTAGATTTTCTATAAAATGATATTCCAGGGCCCAAAAGGTTATATAGCATGAATATGTGAAGTACACCTGCAGTATGGAAACAGTATAACAAAATGGCCGTTTTACACTTTTTTCTAGTAAATTCCCCTCTAATATATTTTCTATTCTCTTTGGTCATCTGAAGAAAGAATTGTATTTTCTGTGAGTTGGTGATTTGAAGTGAAATCAAACAAGCAATTGCTGAATAAAACCAAAAAAAAAGATATAAGGTAGTGCCCGGCGTTGCCCGTGGAATATCCAATATGTCAATCCCAGGTTACCTATCGGTTTAGCCAATTAACTTGTGTTAAAATTGCATTAAAGACATGAAAAGAAAAACTTGTGTGATGAATTGTTCAACTCTCTTTAGAGCTTCTTATCAAATTTTAACGGTAAAACGAAAAAAACGTTATTTTTACTGAACTGTTCAGTTCTTAGTTTAGAACGAACGGCCACTCGATGAGCCTGCCCGTTCCGTGAACGAGAGTTTTGAAGAAAGCTTGAACTTGTTCAACCCTACAGCCAAAACTGCTGAACCGTTCGGGAACACCTTTTTGTCAGACTTCACATAACTCCAGGTTTGTTTATGGCCGGGAAAAATATCACATTAGTGTTTGGCTTCTTAATGAACGAAGAAAATTTAATATTTAAAAACATCTTTTAATGTAAACATTTATAAAAGAGGAGGTCGCGCCCTTTTTTAGAAGAAAGCACGACTTTGAACGAAAAACGTTTAAAATTTAATATTCTCGACATGAAATATCAAATGGATGTCTGAGCCCAAAACTTAAGAGAGGGTTATGAAACCAGTTTTGAAACCCGTGTTTCATGAAGGGGGTTAGGCAGTTTTGTGGATAGTAATATTTTTGTTATGGACTATTATTTTATTTAGCTTCTTCATATTCTCAATTTTTTTCGAATCTCTTCAATCAAAAAACTCCCGAGTTTCATTTTTAGGGTCTTAACATTTGTGAAATTTGATTTAAGAGATTCGAAAAATATGGAGAATATGAAGAAACCAAATAAAATAATATTTCATAACAAAAATATTGATATACGCAAAACTGCCTAACCCCATTCCTGAAGCCCAGGTTCCAAAACTGGTTTCATAACGATACCCTGTCTTAAGTTTTGAGCTCAGGGGTGAAAAGAGGTTTGTACAGAACAGTACAGTATACATATATGCTTGTGCAGTGTGTACAATAGCATAGTTTCATAGTAAAGGAATTGAATCTTTGCCACAAACTCAAATTTTCTAATTTTCGTTGCAGCCTCATTGTGTAAACCTTAAGAATTTCTAACTTAGATTATTTATCTAACAGAATTCATAGTTTAAAATATCTAAGGTCTGCGACATTTGGTTGCATAGATATAGGGATTAGAAAAGTAGAGTTTGTGGAAAAGACTCAATTCTTTAATATTAACACTAGGCGTTTAGGCGCTTCGCGCCCATCTTCTATTTCAATTGAACATTTTCTCCTTGTATATGTACATTGTAAAACAAAAACAAATAAAAGTTCTCGGAGGACTTTATAAAAAAAATTCGTGGATTTTAAAAATATAAGAAGGAGGTTAATTTTTGAAATTTTGATCATTCATAAACCTTCCCTGGGGTCATGTGAGGTCCCACGGAAAATTTGGGCCCGATCGATTCAGTCATTTTACCGTTTATGGGACACAAGCAAACAGACAAACAAACAGACAAGCAAAGTACAGATAGATATTAGCATAAATTCCTAGAGACAAAAACTTTTGTGTCGGGAATCTTCTAATTGATTTAATTCCTTCACAGTTGATATTGGGATCAAGCATTGTAGATTAGCGCTATATATTTATTCAACATTTTTGACCTCAGTTTCTTCCCTGGGCTGTATTAGTCAAACTATACTCTGTTTTTAGTTACATGATTGAAAAAGGAGGAAGATTAAAGTTTTCTCTACAGAATTCTGTCGCTTTTGTAAAAAGATTCAACATATTTTAAGAACAATGAAATTTAAATGTTTCTATGTTGATACAAGTCCACTATTACGCATTTGTTGCTGATCATATCTATTTGTGTTCCTGTTGTTGTGCGAGTATGTGAGTTAGTAAGTGCGTGTGTGGGGGGTTTGTGTGTTCAAATTATTCTTTCTGTCCCTATTGTAGTGAGACAGTATAATATGTCATCTCTGATTTGATTTATTGATAGATTCAAATAAACCACGATAGTATCCGATCCAAGAGCTCTCCACAAGCTATCAAGGGCCTCCTAAAACATGTCAGAATTAGCTTTCATAAAATAATTT